TTCACATTATGCCCAGTGTATTGCTTCACACTGACCTAAAGGGCTTTTTCCTGCAGCTGATGCCACTCTGGAGACCACTAGCTGGGATAAGAGGAGGAATTGCAGTTGGTATCACTCTGCATGGGACAGAATCCAACACCAAAGAGGAGGAATCAGCTTATGTACCTCTTGCTCCCTACTACAGCTCCAACTTTACAAGGAGTCCCTCTGCATTGCACACTGATGCTATCGCATGGCGGGCCAGAAAGCCCAGACTGATCTACCAGTCACCTTGCTGCGATCACTTTGTGCAGCCATCTGCTACTGACTGCCTGTGCAAAAGCTTTAGGCGGGTGTAAATTAAGAATGCTTTCAGAGAAGTGTTTATCAATTAACCACTTGCCTACCATGCACTTATACCCCCTTCCTTACCAGGCCAATTTTCAGCTTTCAGCGCTGCCGCACTTTAATTGACAATTGCGCGGTCATGCAACATTGTACCCATATGAAATTTTGATCATTTTTTTTTCTCACAAATAGAGCTTTCTTTTGGTGGTATTTAATCACCACTGGGCACTTTACTTTTTGCGCTATAAAATTAAAAAAAGTGCAAAAAATTTGGAAAAAAAAAAAAGTTTGTTTCTTTTATAAAATTTTTCAAACAGGTATTTTTTCTCCTTCACTGATTTGCGTTGATGAGGCGGGTGGCACTGATAGGCAGTACTAATGAGGTGGCGGATAGGCGGCAACACTGATAGATTAGGGGTCACGGATAGGCGGCACTGATATGCAGCACTGATAGGCGGCGGCATAGGTGACACTGACTGGGTACTGATAGACTGGGCACTGACTGGCACAACCCCTGGGCACTGACTGGTGGCACTGACTGGCAGCACTGCTGGGCTGCTGCACTGGTGGGTGGGCAGGCACAGGTGGGTGGCACTGCTGGGCACATGTAGGTGGCACTGCAGAGTGGCACAGGTGGGTGCACTGCTGGGCACGGGTGGGGGGCTAGTGGGCGCACTGCTGGGCGGAACTTGCGGGTGTCACTGCTGGGCACCGATCATCAGGGCACTGAGCAGTGCCCTGATGATCGGTGCCGATCCCCGCTCTGACAACTGCCGGTTCTCGGCAGTACTTTCCTCACGATCTGACAGCGTGAGGAAAGTGCAGCCGAGAACCGGCACTTGCATTTCCCTGTGATCAGCGTGTCATTGGACACCGCTGATCACGCGGTAAAAGGCCGGTGGGATCGGCCTTTCACCACATCACGTGATCAGCTGTGTCCGTAGGACACAGGGATCACGGAGATCGCCGGGGTGCGTGCCCCCTGGGGCGCGCAGGAGAGCGCGTTCTGGGAGGACGTCATATGACGTCCACTCAGAACTGGCCGGCCGCGGTGAAGCCGTCATTCGGCTATGCGCGGTCGGCAAGAGGGTAAAGTGAACAGTAAAGAAAAGAAAAAAAATACAAAATATTTGAGTGACCACCCTTTGCCTTCAAAACCACATCAATTCTTCTAGGTACACTTGAACAGAGTTTTTGAAGAAACTCAGCAGGTAGGTTCTTACATCTTGGAGTACTAACCAGAAATCTTCTGTAGATGTAGGCTGCCTCAAATACTGCCCATGTAATTCCAGACTATGGCGGTCAGAGCTCTGCGGGGGCCAATCACTTCCAGGACTCTTTGTACGCTGAAGATACAGTCAGGTCCATAAATATTGGGACATCGACACAATTCTAACATTTTTGGCTCTATACACCACCACAATGGGATTTGAAATGAAGTGAACAAGATGTGCTTTAACTGCAGACTGTCAGCTTTAATTTGAGGGTATTTACATCCAAATCAGTGAACGGTGTAGGAATTACAACAGTTTGCATATGTGCCTCCCACTTGTTAAGGGACCAAAAGTAATAGGACAATTGGTTTCTCAGCTGTTCCATGGCCAGGTGAGTGTTATTCCCTCATTATCCCAATTACAATGAGCAGATAAAAGGTCCAGAGTTCATTTCAAGTGTGCTATTTGCATTTGAATCTGTTGTTGTCAACTCTCAAGATGAGATCCAAAGAGCTGTCACTATCAGTAAAGCAAGCCATCATTAGGCTGAAAAAACAAAACAAACCCATCAGAGAGATGGCAAAAACATTAGGCGTGGCCAAAACAACTGTTTGGAACATTCTTAAAAAAGAAGGAACGCACCGGTGAGCTCAGCAACACCAAAATACCCGGAAGACCATGGAAAACAACTGTGGTGGATGACCAAAGAATTCTTTCCCTGGTGAAGAAAACACCCTTCACAACAGTTGGCCAGATCAAGAACACTCTCCAGGAGGTAGGTGTATGTGTGTCAAAGTCACAATCAAGAGAAGACTTCACCAGAGTGAATACAGAGGGTTCACCACAAGATGGAAACCATTGGTGAGCCTCAAAAACAGGAAGGCCAGATTAGAGTTTGCCAAACATCTAAAAAAGCCTTCACAGTTCTGGAACAACATCCTATGGACAGATGAGACCGAGATCAACTTGTACCAGAGTGATGGGAAGAGAAGAGTATGGAGAAGGAAAGGAACTGCTCATGATCCTAAGCATACCACCTCATCAGTGAAGCATGGTGGTGGTAGTGTCATGGCGTGGGCATGTATGGCTGCCAATGGAACTGGTTCTCTTGTATTTATTGATGATGTAACTGGTGACAAAAGCAGCAGGATGAATTCTGAAGTGTTTCTGGCAATATTATCTGCTCATATTCAGCCAAATGCTTCAGAACTCATTGGACGCCGCTTCACAGTGCAGATGGACAATGACCCAAAGCATACTGCAAAAGCAACCAGAGTTTAAGGGAAAGAAGTGGAATGTTATGCAATGGCCAAGTCAATCACCTGACCTGAATCCGATTGAGCATTTCACTTGCTGAAGACAAAACTGAAGGGAAAATGCCCCAAGAACAAGCAGGAACTGAAGACAGTTGCAGTAGAGGCCTGGCAGAGCATCCCCAGGGATGAAACCCAGAGTCTGGTGATGTCTATGCGTTCCAGACTTCAGGCTGTAATTGACTGCAAAGGATTTGCAACCAAGTATTAAAAAGTGAAAGTTTTATTTATGATTATTATTCTGTCCCATTACTTTTGGTCCCTTAACAAGTGGTAGGCACATATGCAAACTGTTGTAATTCCTACACCGTTCACCTGATTTGGATGTAAATACCCTCAAATTAAAGCTGACAGTCTGCAGTTAAAGCACATCTTGTTTGTTGCATTTCAAATCCATTGTGGTGGTATATAGAGCCAAAAATGCTAGAATTGTGTCGATGTCCCAATATTTATGGACCTGACTGTAGTTCTTAATGACATTGGCTCCATGCTTTGGGTCATTGCCCTGCTACAGAACACATTTAGGACCGATCACATGCCTCCCTTTTGGTATACGAATAAATATCTGCCTGCATCATTTATTCTGACTGAATCTCCAACTCCATTTGCAGAAAATATAATGGACAAAACCAATGAGCGCAGTCAAATATCCATAAGTCAATGTCAACATGGACACTCAACTGAACACGCAAAGTAAAATCCACAATACCTCAAATCAAGTGCAGAGCAATAAAAAAAAAAAAACAAAAAATCCAGTTTTTAGCAAGTCCTTTAGAGAGTCCATATACCACCAACCAGCATAAGTATTAGCTTATACAGCAATTCAAAGTTGTGGAATAGGTTTTTTTTTCAATTGAAAGGTTAATAATTGATTATAAATTTTGGCACTTGTCATAAGCGCATGAATGAGAGCTCAAAACACAACGGCGAACAGCCGATCAGAAGATAGCCGCAGATGACTCATATCACTGGATAACCTAATCCATCTGCCAGTTGGTGCTGGTGGTATGTAGACTGATTTACTAAAACCTAGATTTACATTTTATTTATGGTTTCCATGTGCAGAAAAGGCAACCTCCAAACTTTGAAAGGAACATCCACCATGCCTCACTGTTGCCTGTAGACACTCCTTGCAAAGCTCTCCAGCCCTTCACGAACAAACTTCCTACTGCTACAGCCAAATATTTAAAATTTTGACAACATCCAGAGCACCTGTTGTCATTTTTCACCACAGTTCCTATCTTCTCATGCATTGTTGAGTTGCTTAGCCTTGTTTCCACATCGCAGATATGGCTTTTTGGCCGCAATTCTTCCATGGAGGTGAATCCTACCAGACTTTTCTGGACAGTAGATGGGTGTACCTGGATCCCACTGTTTGCCAGTTCTGTGCTGATGGCAGTGCGGGACAGATGCCATTGTTGATGGAAGCATGTGTCTCATCTGCTGCATTAAGTTTCCATGGCTGACCTGTGCCTCTACAGTCCATCCCAATCAATGTTGCCAGCAATGCTGAGAAATACAGGCAGATAATTATCCATCATGCCATACCATCAGGAAGGTGCGTCATTGGCCTCAAAATGTATTCTGCAGCAGGACAAGAACGCCAAAATACAGCCAATGTCCTTAAGAACCATCTTGAGTGTAAAGAACAAGGAGTGCTGGAAGTGATGGCATGGCCCCCACAGAACTCTGATCTCAACAGTGTGTAGGAGACCAGATTGGAGGCAGCCTACATGTTTTCAAAAACCTATCTGCCAAGTTACTTCAAAAACTGTATTCAAGTGTACCTAGAAGAACTGATGGCGTTTTGAAGGCAAGGGGTAGTCACACCAAAAATTGATTGTGAATTGGTAAAAAATAAACCATGATATTTTTGAAAGCATTTTACTTTACAGCATTTCTCCACACCTGCCTAAAACGTTTACACAGTACTGTATAAAAGGATAGATTCTATATTGTGAAGCTAGGACGTACTTAAAATAAAATGCCAAATTGTTCTCCAAGTGACCTAGAATATTATTCCAAGCACACAATGATACCAAAAAGGTATAAAATGTTACATTTCCCACAAGGGACTCCTTACACACAAAGGTATATAATCAAAAATAATCAGAGCTTAGGTCTCTTTAGTTTTGGTGATACTTACACTTTTTTTGCTGGCAGGCTGATTTTGAGGTAATGATCCTGGTGCAAGCACTGGAGAACCTGCAGGTGTGCAAAGCTCTGGAAATGGATTTGGAATTGCTGGCAAAGATGATGTGCGCAGTTGTTCCTCTTGTAGACGTCTGCATGGAAGAAAAAAAAATGGTCCTCAAGAAATGATAATTAAGAGGTCTTGAAAATGTACAGTAAAAAAAGAATTACATACATACACACACACATATATATATACATATATATATATATATATATATATATATATATATATATATATATATATATATATATATATATATATATATATATATATATACACACACACACACATACATACATACATACATACACACACATACATATATACATACTTTGTCAATATAGGTGGGCTGGATGAATAATGTATTGCTGTATGCAACCTATTTCCAGAAATTTCACATGTAGAGCGATCAGATAGATATCATTGGTACATAACTTCTGTCTATCTCTGGATGGAAAAGCATCTGACAACTTACCTGATTGAAGGCTGGATATTCTAGAATTTTTTTTTTTTTTTTTTTAAATATACTGTTACTTATTCTAATGCAGTTAGCATAACCATATGGATTTTGCATAACCATTATCTGGTGTTTTGGCAATTTTTGTATATTTTTTCCTGTACAGTCCATTTTGCCTGGATGGATGGAGAAGTGAGCTACACTAGCAGAGTGGTTTGGGTCCATGTGTGCTGACCATCGCCTAAACCACAAACCTAGGTTTGGGCACTGTAAATAGACCGTATATCCTTTGTAGTGTTTACTACTAGAAATTATCCCAACACTTCTATGTTAGGAGTAGAGTGGCGTTTCCTTTGTTTAGCTTTGCTACGAAACGCATGGGCTTGTCCCTGCTTCTGACTGCCATTTCTAATGCATTGCAAGTTGCTTAGGGCATTTTGCAAGATCATACAAAACTGGGCATTTTTGCACTTCGCAAACATTTAACAAAACACATTCAATGATCTAATTAGTCGACCAAAATGGATCAAAAATGGTAATTTATTGTTGAGGTTTACACACAATGATTTTTAATATTTATGACCAGGTCCCATCAGATCAAGGTGCTAGGTTTCCTTTCATTTTTTGGTATACAGCAGTGGTCTCCAAACTGTAGACCGAGGGTCAGACGTGGTCTCGTTTGCCTATATCCAGCCCTTGGGGCACTATTCCTCCCACTGAAACCAAAAAATACCATTCCTTTCACCAACACCAGTGATGGGGCACTATTCCCCCACACTGACAAGGATGGGACACCATCACTGCCACTGATACCAACAATGAAGAAGCATTCTTCCCACTGATACCAATAGGACACTATTGCTTCCATTGATAAACACCATTGGAACACTATTCCTTGCAGTGATACCAAGGGACACCATTTCTCCCACCGATACAAAGGGGCACTAGTCCTACCACTAACAATAAACGGGGAACTACTTCCTCATCCTACAGACCACATGCATTAGGTCATTTTTTACTTCCACTGACCACCCAGCCTAAGACCGTTTTATACCACTGACACCGGGGCATCTTCTATTCCCAACGATCACAGTTCTGACCCCTTAAATTCTGAAGGACTGTAACATCGGTCCATTGTTTAGAAAGCCTGGAAAGCCATGGAATATGGTATTCAGGAACTGGAGGTTATGACATTGGGGGAATTGTGCGCTTTTAATCATTTATAGGGTGTCTATTTGCATTGTATTGTTTTAAACATTCTTCATTCTAGTGTCCCACGCACTTTGAAATATTCTCTTGTATTTACCAGCTATACGGCAGCTCTGTTTTAACTATACATTTACAGCAGCACAGAGTTTTCTTGGTGTATTTTGTTTGTCCAAGTCATGTCTATTGGCTGTGGAGATATGGGAGGCTGACCAGAAAGCAAAATGCAGAATTAAAGCACTAACTCTAATCAGGGCCACAACTAACCCACCAAAAAACTGGGATTCTTCAGTGGACCGGGGCCCTGCCTGATGAGACCATCGGCAGTCAGACCTTTAAATACCTTCCAATAGACCCAGGGGGTTGGAGTGAGCAAATAAAAAGGAGTTTCTCAGCTGCTGGTACAACTATCAGCACAATGAATCCCGCTGAGAGTGTACCTGACCCGTCAGTCTCAACCGATCAACAAACCCTTCTTATGACAGTGTACAGTACTATAGTCTTGCTAAAGCCAGAATACTAGAAAATAAGCAGTTTCATGACTTCTATTGCTCCGTGTAGAGTGCGATTGACCGTGTACCTGAAGTTCTTAATGCACCAGGGATGGAACGCAAGTAAATCTGTAAACATTAAGGCTAGCAATATATGTATTAGATTCTCTATCCACTCTACACAGCCTGGATAAATTATCTTCTCAGCTATTGTACTCAGTCAACAGTTACTACGTACAATCTATAGTCAACAGGATCTATAGCTGCTGAACAGCCCAAGGCATCAACAGCAAGGCTCTTACTTTCCATTCATCATATATCAGCATCAGAGGTTGGTCATCAGCTCTGAGGAAAGGGATTCGTCCCCGAAACGCGTCAGCCATTTGACCACACTGACAGTGAGAACACCTTCCCTGCCGTTGTGGCCATTGTCATTTTTCTATGCTTTTTAGATACATGCTTCGTCTGAGTATGTTTTTATTATTCTTTCACTCCTACAATAAACCTTAGATAATGCACTAGGTGTGTGCTCCACCTGTTCTCTCTATCCAGTGGCTGATATCCCCGTCTGAGGAGCGCTGCACCCCTGGAGCATTTCCTTTGGTTGTCGCTGTCCTGGTACCCTTGGCTTCCCTTTTGGCTGTGCATATCCCAAGGCGCTGGAGAGTACATACGATATCCGGTTCAGTTGCTGAACAGCCCAACACTATTTCCCATCCTGATCTGACAAAAGTTGATCGAAATATCAAACTTTGTTGAATTGGGTGATGTGAACAGTGCAACCCAAAGCTTGAATTTCAGCAGGAATCGGACCAAACTCAAGCAGTTTATGGCCTCCTGAAGTAAACAACACTGTTATTGTGCTGGATGAGCAGACAGTTTGCTACATCTAATGCAGATAGGCATTAAACCCATAACATTTTTCAGATATTTAAAGTGGTTGTATACCCAATGAAGTGCCTGGCCTCAGGTGACAGAGCTTAAACAAATCTCCTACACAAGTTGTACCCATTTCAAAGTCTTTCCCCTACATTCAAAGTGTAGAATTTACATAGGATAACTCAGCTCTGAAAAGCAGGGGGGTGGGGAGCTGGAGTAACATCAGTGAGGAGAGCTCCAAGAGCTGATTGGAGGGAAGGGGCACACCCCCCCTTCAAACCGGAAAAGAGTTGAGAGTGTCAATGACAGGCTGTGCCCTCCTGATGTTTTCCTGACACTAAGAAAAAAAAAAAAAAAAAAAAAAATATATGAAGTGACTAAAAGCAGAGAGGAACCAGGCAGCAGACAGAAAACATGTCATGCTCTGAATTCAGACATGTACAGTGCCTTGAATAAAGTATTCATACCCCTTGAAATTTTCCATATTTTGTTTGAGTTACAACCAAAAACAAATGTATTTTGAGATTTTATGGGATAGACCGGGTGTCGGCAACCCGCGGCTCCAGAGCCGCATGCGGCTCTTTCACCTTTGCTGCGGCTCCGGAGCACACTGCCCACCAGGTGACAGGCAATAGGGTTGCCGTAGCTCAGTGGTCGGCAAGCCGCGGCTCGGGAGCCACATGCGGCCTCTTTACACATTTTAATGCGGCTCTTCTGTGTGCTGGGCGCCCGCTCCCCTCCCTCCTCTCGGGCGGCCGCCCCAAAAGTCAGGACTCTGCAGCTAGCCCAGCAACGGGCAAACTACAGCCCGGTGGACCTTTTAATCCGGCCCGCGGAGCATGGCAAACATTGGCTGTCAGGATGTAGGCGGGGCAGCGTGACGAACTCCTCTCCTCACAGTCCGCCCTGAAGACCGGAACGGTGCGGGAACACGGCGAGAGGAACGCGCGGAGCAAAGGTAAGTGAATTGACAATATGGGGAATGAATTACTATATGGGGGATGTATTTTCAGTTTTAAAAATGTGGCTCTCAAAATAAATTTCAATCGTGGTTTTGGCGAGATTTGGCTCAGTTGAAAAAAAAAAAGGTTGCCCACCACTGCATTAAGGTAAGAAACAATATATGCAGTGTCTGATTTGTTTTAAATGTTGCAATGGTTTTGCGGCTCCCAGTCTTTTTTTTCCCTTCGGAAACGGGTCCAAGTGGCTCTTTAGGTCTTAAAGGTTGCAGACCCCTGGGATAGACCAACACAAAGCGGCACATAATTGTGAAGTGGAAGGAAGGAAAATGATAAATGCTTTTCAAATTGTTTTACAAATCTCAAAATCTGGTGTGCATTTGTATTCAACCCCCTTTACTCATACCCCCAACTAAAATCTAGTGGAACCAATTGCCTTCAGAAGTCACCTAATTAGTAAATAATGTCCACCTGTGTGTAATTTAATCTCCGTATATATAAAGCCGTTCTGTGAAGCCCTCAGAGCTTTGTTACAGAACATTAGTGAACAGCATCATGAAGACCAGAGAACACCAGACAGGTCAGGGATAAAGTTGAAGTTTAAAACAGGGTTAGGTTATATCCCAAGGTTTGAACATCTCATGGAGCACTGTTCAATCACCCAAAAATGGTAAGTGTGGCACAACTACAAATCTACCAAGACATGGCTGTCCACTTAAACTGAAAGGCCGGCAAGGAGAGCATTAATTAATCAGAAAAGCAGCCAAGAGGCTCATGGTAACTCTGGAGGAGCTGTAGAGATCCACAGGTCAGGTGGGAGAATCTGTCCACAGGACAACTATTAGTCATACACTCCACAAATCTGGCCTCCATGGAAGAAAGCCATTGTTGAAAGAAAGACTTAAGTCTTGTTTACAGTTTGCGAAAACCCATGGGGACACAGAAAACATGTGGAAGAAGCAGCTCTGGTCAGATGAGACCAAAATTTAACTTTTTGGGCTAAAATCAAAACGCTATGAGTGGCAGAAAACT